GCTGCATACAGCTTATGTAACTTTAGCTACAGCCTCTGTTATTTACCTTTAGACAGGCCCAGTCTTTGCACAAACCATGGCCAACAATGAACACAATAACAGTTGTGGTTATTTGGCCTGGAGAAGGGAAGGCTCCAGGGAGACCTTATACCCCCTTCCAGTACCTAAAGGGGCTACAGGAGAGATGGGGAACTTTTGGTCAGGGAGTGGAGCCATAGGACAAGGCGGAATGGTTTTAAACTGAAAGAAGATAGATTTAGATTAGGCATGAGGAAAAAATTCTTTACCATGAGGGTGGTGAGGCACTGGAACATGTTGCCCAGAGCAGCTGTGGATGCCCCATCCCTGGAGGTGTTCACGGCCAGGCTGGATGGGGCTTGGAGCAACCTGCTCTAGGGAGAGATGTGGAACCCAGCCTAAGGGGGTGCAACTAGAGGATCTTCAAGGTCCCTTCTAACTTTAACCATTCTGTGACTCTATAACTGTCATGTAATTTTATGACTTAATAATTCAATTTCTACTTTAAAAAAACAAAACAAACCTGAATGTCTACTAGAAACCTACAAATGCAAATTTCGGCACCTGCCAGGCCCAGAGAGACGGAAACGCGCTGTTTTCCCGCCAGCACCCGTGGGGAAGGCGGCCCCAGGCCGCTCCGGCGCTCACCCTGTCGGTGCGTAGGTCCAAGCCCCGCTCCGGACCGCGGGGGAGGGTGGGGAACGACGTCCCGCTTCACCGGGAGCGGTATTCTCCGCGCAACCCCGCGTACCGTACGCGGGAGACGGGCCCCGCCTGTGCGCAGCAGCGCCAACCCCGCGGGGCCGCGGCCTCTCGTCAGCGCTGAGGGGGCTCGAGCCACAGGCACGAGGGCGGCGCGAGGTGGCGGCAACGGCGCGAGGTGGCGGCGGCGCGTGCCCTATCAAATATTCGCTTTTCTTTCAATATATCCCAACTAAAAATGAGTAACAGAGAACAAACAAAATAAAACAGCCCAGTGCAATGCAGGAAAGATTGGCAGAAATTATCTACAGTCCCCAAAGCTGTGCCAGGCATTTACGTGCATTTGTTTCTTCTCCTCTACTCAGTAACTGCTTCAACTCTATACAAAAATCTCTGCTTGGGATCTCAAGATTGCCATCAAATCTCAGGCATTTCACTGTAACAGTCACTGGGTTGGAGACAACTCAAGTGATGTTCCAACCTTAACATTATTCATAGTTCAGATAAGAAATTATGGAACACTTCCCTTCAACATTCTGAAGACCATCAGCAGTAACCAAGACTCTAGACTCCCACCTGTTATGCTTTGATTCCACTCTACTTCAGTAAGGACTTAACACTTGTCCCTAACCAGTTAAAAGGTCTCCAGAGCAAAAAGCACTGCTGAATGTCAAACAGTGGAAGTCACTGACTGGAAGCACTGATAACAGTTCCAAGTTCATCTATCCTTACTGCGTAACTGTTTTCAGTTATAGTTGTTCCCTATGGATTTCTATCCCCATAGATTTCTAGTAAAATAGAAGAATAGTAATAATAATAATAAGGGATTGTACTACAGCATTTTTCTCCCCTCTTTCATAAATTATATATAGGAAAAACACTGAGAGAAAAAGCTCTCTCGAATAGTAATTTGTTTTGGGAAGGAGCATTAACATCTTCCAGACTTAATCTGGCCATGCCTCCACATCACTGGTAAGGAAAAAATCCTTGCTTTTTACAGCTACTGGAGTTAATGGGCCTGGTTTTATTCTGTCTTTTGAAATAGAATTAAAGTTCTAATACAATTTTACTTAGGTCTTATTTTCCTTGGCAATCCAGCATATAAATGATCTGAGTTAAACACAGCAGTGTTCTCAACCTTCTTTTAGCGAAGTATGTGGAAATAAAGCTCTATTAGAAGACAAGTTCAGCAACCACGTTTGCAAGCATTAACTCCCACAGAAGTCAGCAGCAATCACCCCTCTCCGATAAAAGCCTCTCACAGCGTTTCCCGTAACTGCAAGTTACTAAGCCCAGAAGAAGTGTCAATTCCAGCAGACCAAGAAGGATGCAATCTCTCTTCTCATCTACCAGCAGCAAATCTAGAAGCAGGATTCAAAAGGAGACATCTTCTTGAAATACACTAGAATTATTCTCTTGCATCTAATCTACTGCTCAGGAAAAGACTGACTGCTGATACAGTGACAGAGAATGCACCTTGAAAACCAGAAATCAAAAGCTCAAAACTAAGAGAAGTGGCATTTCAGTATGAGCACAACTCCTAAAGAAAGTAAAATTTGAGACCTTAACATAAAAATTATCATTTTATGTCTTGGCATAGAAAAAAATCTAAGATCCACTCTAATCTTCTGAGCATCCATCTACTAAAAAAGAGATATTTAACATATAATTGCAACAAGTTGTATTTTGTAATATGGTAACACGGTCTAAGTCATCAGGATCAATTAAGTACAACGACCTATCCGAGTACCAGAGACAGACTTAGTAGAGGGAGTCCAGTGAAGGGTCACAAAGACGATTAAAGGACTGGAGCACCCTTCAGACCAGGAGAGAGTGCTGGGACTGTTCCATCTGGCGAAGAAAAGGCTCAGGGGGATCTTATCAATGTGTATAAGAGGATCTTACCTATGTGTATAAATACCTGATGGGGGGGACTGAAGATGATGGGATCTTCTCAGGGGTGCGCAGTGACAGGTCAAGGGGCAACGGGCACAAAGTGAACAACGAACAGGAAATTCCGCCTGAAAGTAAGAAAACACCTTTGGATGACATTCAAAACCTGACTGGACAGCCCTGGGCAACCTGCTGTAGCAGGGTGAAGTAGATGCTCTCCAGAGGTGCTTTCCAACCTTAATTATTCTGTGAAAAGCCTGACATTTTTTTGTGAATAGGTATTATGCTACATTCTCTCTCACTACACACATATATATATACACCTCAAAAAACCTGCACCAAGCCAAACCACATCAAACAAAGCAGCTGATTCTTAATCAATGCTCAGATCAGCCTAGCTATATTAGAAAACAGGACAGGAAGGTAGCACCGACTTGTCTTTTTCCCTGATTGGAACTTGCATCTGTGGAGAGACAAAATTAAGTTTCTTGATTCTTTTCAGAGCATTTTTTTTTTATTTTACCTCATCAATAGACTCTCCATAATGGTTTCATTTGGTTCTCATTTTCTTTTAAGACTATGTAGCCCGTTGCGCTTGCATAAGAATATTCTGAACTGACAAAATGAAGTTTAACATGGAAATAGGATATGGAGTCAGGCATTAAAGATGAGAATTTTGCACTCAACAATTAATCAGTGGAGGGCTGCATACAGCTTATGTAACTTTAGCTACAGCCTCTGTTATTTACCTTTAGACAGGCCCAGTCTTTGCACAAACCATGGCCAACAATGAACACAATAACAGTTGTGGTTATTTGGCCTGGAGAAGGGAAGGCTCCAGGGAGACCTTATACCCCCTTCCAGTACCTAAAGGGGCTACAGGAGAGATGGGGAACTTTTGGTCAGGGAGTGGAGCCATAGGACAAGGCGGAATGGTTTTAAACTGAAAGAAGATAGATTTAGATTAGGCATGAGGAAAAAATTCTTTACCATGAGGGTGGTGAGGCACTGGAACATGTTGCCCAGAGCAGCTGTGGATGCCCCATCCCTGGAGGTGTTCACGGCCAGGCTGGATGGGGCTTGGAGCAACCTGCTCTAGGGAGAGATGTGGAACCCAGCCTAAGGGGGTGCAACTAGAGGATCTTCAAGGTCCCTTCTAACTTTAACCATTCTGTGACTCTATAACTGTCATGTAATTTTATGACTTAATAATTCAATTTCTACTTTAAAAAAACAAAACAAACCTGAATGTCTACTAGAAACCTACAAATGCAAATTTCGGCACCTGCCAGGCCCAGAGAGACGGAAACGCGCTGTTTTCCCGCCAGCACCCGTGGGGAAGGCGGCCCCAGGCCGCTCCGGCGCTCACCCTGTCGGTGCGTAGGTCCAAGCCCCGCTCCGGACCGCGGGGGAGGGTGGGGAACGACGTCCCGCTTCACCGGGAGCGGTATTCTCCGCGCAACCCCGCGTACCGTACGCGGGAGACGGGCCCCGCCTGTGCGCAGCAGCGCCAACCCCGCGGGGCCGCGGCCTCTCGTCAGCGCTGAGGGGGCTCGAGCCACAGGCACGAGGGCGGCGCGAGGTGGCGGCAACGGCGCGAGGTGGCGGCGGCGCGTGCCCTAGCCCGTGCCCTAGCCCCTGCCCTCCCCGCCCCTCCCTCCCCGCGCAGGCGCGAGGCGCTCGCGGCCTTGTCACGTGCTTTTGGCCTGGGCAATGCACACCTGACCCTGAATTCTGGAATAAACCGCGGAATTCCAAATAGCGGTACGTTCCCGCTGTGCAGAGCTGCGTGTGACGCCCCCGCCCTGCCCCGGGAGCCCGTGTCCTGAGGTGACAGCACCCGTCACCCCCAGCCATGCCACGGTGACTCTGCTGTTACACAGCTCCTTTTCCACAGGCAAAGCACTCACCCGAAAAACAGATTAATTACAAACAAAGAATTGCCAGACGCCAAAACGCAGAATGTCGGCCCAGCCGAGGCCCAGCAGGCGCTGCTGCTCCAGGGGGTTATATCCATCTTCCCAAAAATCCAGATGGCTTCCTCCGCCCGGCCTGCATGGTGCCCATCACGCTGGGGGTGCACCGGGCACACGCCATCATGGGCCACGTACAAGCCCTGACGGACCACCAGGAAACGGCCGCCTGTCCCCGGGGCCTGGCTGCCCTCCGTCAGTCTGTCGGGGTGCTGCTCACGCTTCTGTGAGGCTGTAACGTAGGCTACGCGGCCTTCTGCAGCGTGGTGATATCCTCCTGGCGCCTCAGCGTGAGTTGGGACTCCCTCAGCCTGCGGTACCCACGCTCAGAACTGTACTTGATTCTCAAGAAACTCTGGGAGAACAAATCAACCGAAAATGAGAAATAAATTGCGTCGCGGAAACTCATCTTGAATTACTTTATTTTTCACAATAATAAAAAATAAATTAGTCATAAACAAAAATAGTTAACATTTTTTCATCAAAGAGAAAATGTATACAATATGAAAAGGATGCTGTACAGTTCTGGTTCAGGTGCATTGCCATGGATACAGATTCCTGAACGAGTCAGAAAGCAATTTGCCTATACTCTCCTCCTTTAATTCACTCAAGGAACTGGCTAATCAGAAAGTTTAGAAAATTGTATTATGGATTTACAGTATGACATATATACAAAAATATATATGTAATACCTCTGCTATAAAATTCCCTAAAAAGCTGGGTTAGTATAATGAAAAAGCTGGACAAAATTTGAATGGTATATGTAAATAAATACATATTAGGTCCCTTTTAATAAAAAATCTGCCTATTCTAAATATTTGAAATATTTGGTGCAGTGGCTTGTACCATCGACACAGCTCAGAATTACATATTTCCCATAGACATCTTGTATTTACAAATAACAACAAAAATAAGTTATAATAAAGTATATCCTTCTGCCAAAATCAATTATGAGGGTCAAGTAGACAATTTTATACATATTAAAAAAGTTAGGGTTTCTTTTGTCTCCAGTCCTTCCTGATCCTCTATGTAGATCCTGAGTGACTACGATGGGACTTCACAAGCTCGCACGTACCCAGCCCCTGCCAAGGCCACTGGTCTCAAGAGAACCAAACACAGCACGGACAGAACCGCTCAGGGCAAGCAGCAGTGACAGGCTGTCACTGGAAGGGCAATGATTTCTCAAAGTTAAGCTCCCCTCCTCTCCAGATACAGCGGTAAGTTATTTATAACCCATTATAGTAAATGGGGATATAGAAGACTGGGAACTCAGAGTCTTAAGAACTTCTGGTTGCTAAAAGCTGAGAACCAAAAAGCTGAGGTTCAGGTCTGGTGTGACTTCTCTTAAACGGAATTTTCTCCCTTTCACCAGGTCTGAATTTCACCCGCACTATTGAGATACTATAATGATGACAAGTTTGCTTTAAAATATATTGAAAATCCTTAGTGGATGATTTTTCATTTCTGACATAGAAATAATTATTTTGTTCCATTTTCTAAACAACAGCTAATATGTTCCACGCAAACATTCTGTAAGCTTAGGAATACCAGATGTTTACTTTCAGTCTTCAAAATGTCATATTTTGTGTTCCAATTGCAAACATGCACGTAAATTACCTGCTCAATACACACAACAGCTCTAAGAGAAGTCAGAGACACAAAGTGTAAGTCTCAAGAAAACCAGGCAGACACACAGTTTCTCCTTTTTGAGTGTGAAGAGGATAATTATCTTTTTTATGCAATAAATGTTAGATGTGAGAATGAAGGGTCACTACATACTTCAATAGCTGTGCAATCACGGGTTCGTTGCACAGGAGTTCACTCAGTAGGTAGTTTAATACCACGCATTTTAAACTAGCCAACACGGACACACACACACAAATAATAACTGGACTGGCAGGAATATACCTCTCTTAATAGCCTGGCTTATTTCTAATACAGATTCTTATCAACTAAATGACCAGTTCAGGATTTTCAGTAATTCTGGCAAAATTGGATATTGTCATCCAAAGGACAAAGGGATGGAGGCAAGATAAGAGGACAAGGAGAACACTTGTGGGTGTAAAAGGAAGACAGGTCAGGATGAGGATGAAGGGAAGGAAAGCAAAACCCTGAAAAGCACGTTTTTACTAATGGTGGTATAGATTGTAAAGAGTAGAAGCAAAGTATTTCCTACAGGAATGCATAACCTCCCCCTTTTTCCAGCATCTGCCTCCTTCCTCCTTTGGTGGTACCACTGGCACTGAACTCCGACATAAGCAAAGTAAGTAGCCAGGTCCTGGCCATACTGCTGCCCCATCTGGACTTCTTCTGCGAGTTGCGTGTACTCACTGGAGTCAGGGCTATACTGACCTCCTTTATCAACTGTATGAACAAATAACCTAAAATACATGTCTTTACATTAACATGTCAATAACGTAACATGCTCTGCGACACATTGGGCTTTTTCTGTATAAAAGGACCAAACTCTGAACTGCACCATATTGTCATAGAAGTGGGGTCTAACAAACAACATATGCTTGGATCTGAAATTGCACAGGAGCTAGAAAACCCTGATGGACCCCTGATAACTTGATAATACAATCGACAGCAGTATTCCTACGCGTACTCTGGTCTTACTGGGTTGTGTAAGATGAAAATCTTTAGGCAAGGAAGCATTTTTTTCCACCATTCAGTGGGATTTTGACTGACGTTAAAATATCAGAAAGAGGAATTAAAGCATTCAGACTCAGAAGCCTGCATAATTTCTTACTTATATTGATTGTACACCTGCTGTAAGTACCGCATTCATTAAGGCCCCCTCTGATTTACAGTGAAAGTAAAATCAGGCCCTCTGCAGGCATCATCCTAAATTGGTGCACTGCTCTATTAAAACAAACCCTTGCTATAGTTCCAATTTCAAAAGTGCATTTTATATGATGGTGAAATCTTAGGATAAAACTTTGTGTAGGTAATATTAATACATCAAAGTGCTGAAAAGAAGGGTTTAATTTTGCAGGAACAACTAATTTGATTATGCTGATAAACAAGAAGAGATGATGTTCAACAACATTCTGGCAGTTTCCTTATCATCAGAGGTTTAATTTGGTGAAGCAATCTATTTTGTTTTATCTGGTACATCTGAAAACTGTCCTTTTACTAAAAAAAAAGTACAATTTGTATAACCATAAGTCAATTCAATTCACAAAGCTGTGTACCTTAGCCATAATACATATGTGTATGTGTATATTCTTTGATATTTAGCTCCCATGAAGTCTGTTTACTTTACTGGCAGCTTAATGGTGCCTACAACATGATCAACTTTGTAATATAACCCAATGGCCATATATTCCAGAGCAAAATTAACATATTCTATAAAACACCAGGATCACCTGGCTATGTGCTGAGTTGCTGACTATCTCACAGCCAAAAGTGTGTGCAAGCACATTATTTTCTATTAACTGTTGGCAAACCTGATTACCTCTGCATTTCATTCACCTTGTGGTTTTCAGAAAGCCTTTTTATGGATCGGGTATTTCCCTCAAGCTGACAGGATACACTTCCTTGGGACAAAAGAGACAACAGCAAAAATTATATACTGTATATTAAGATTTGCTGCAATGAGATATTCAGATGAAAATCTGTATTACAAATACTGGATTCCAGAGTTGTTTATGCTGCACTTTCTCCATGTCATTCTTTGGTCAAGAATCTGAGGAATATAATATTATCACAAATCTGGTAAGTTACCTTCATGGATAAATCTTCATAATACAAGGGAACAGGACTGTAAAAGATTAATGAACTTGAGTGGAAGGTTTTCTAATTAGCATTACTGTTTCTAACAGCTTTATATCAATTAATTACAGTGAAAAAACCCAAATCAAGCTGGACAGAAACAGTCAATGACATTATTGGTTCATAGTCACAAAGAGTAACTTCAAATCAAAAAACCTAAGGTTTGTCTCAATCTAAGGCAGCTTTTAGACCACAAGAGTTTCACCCTCCTGTGGCTTCCAGAACACAAACCAATGTGAACCCACCAGCAACCATTGCCTCCCAGTGCCCCATTCTCTCTTCAATGTCCTCTCCACCAAAGCAGTAAGAAGAAAAGAAAACACAATGAGGCCCAAACAAGGCTCTTCATCAGTAGCAGGACACCTTAATCACTGTTATATCACATCACTGGGAGTGACTTAACACAGATTGTTAAAACTGTTTTTCAATTCAGACAACAGGCACCTCAGAAATAGATGCATAGTTGGGTATCACTGATTTACTAGCAATATGCTGTAATAAACAGCTGGATAAGGAAAGGTGTTTATTTATTCCCTCAGCCTTATTTACACATTTCAGGTGAAGGCTAGAGATTGTGCAGATAATGCAAAAACTTTCATCTGCACTGCACAGCACGTTCTATCTGCATTTAGCAAGTTGCAAGGCCAAGAACACCAATTGCAGAAATGAAAAATCACCACCTGAATTGAGCTCTAGGTCTGGAGCCATTCTTGAGTAGTAGAAAAGGATGATATGACTAGATCTGTGGGATGAAACACTGACTGACAAAAAGACAAGTATGTTGTAATAACTGATCAAACCCCAAAGAATGTCAATAGCTAAGATCTCCTTTTTACAGCTACTCAGCTACTACACTCGTACTGCTGCCTGATGCCAAGAGTAACAGACTACTATAAAGCACAGAGGCCTGCATCCTTCATCCTTTGGTGGTTGTTTCAGAAAGTGGTGACAAAGTACTTTGGTGCGGTAGTTATTAAGCAATAGTGCAGAGACAAGATATTAGGCAAGATACCAGTTCACTGAAATAACTGCCCTACAGCAGAGACACCCTGCCAATGGAAACAGTCACTTTCTTTACACCAGCAAAGGCTCTTCACCTCTCTGGTAAACCTGTCTCATTGACAGCTGACTTAAAGGGCTAGACACTAGTGGCACTCTGGTAGGCAATGTATTTTATAATCCATACAAAATTAGAAAAGTGTAAATTCAAGAGTTTATGAATTAAATATAAAGGCACTTATTGGCAGTCAAGTGTATATATATTTGCTGCCTGAGGACAAGAAGTTAGTTAAAAGTACAACTGAGAGAGCTTAACAGTGACTCTCATTTATTATGAATGGACTGAAGTAATTAAAAATATACGTTAGAGTGCTAAGAAACTGATGATAAATGGGTCTTCCAGGGTCTGGTTCTTTGTGAAGGGTTTTTTCTGATATGCATGTTTCATTGATTTAGTTGTCGAATTTAAGGCAGTCCAAAATACCAAGTAAGAGTAAGCACGCAGAAAATAACGCAGCAGCTGCATCTGTACTGGTCAGATATCTCCAGTAATTGCCTGTGATTGATTTCATTTTCATTGATTTCACAATACTAAGGCTGATATGTTCTTTAAATAATTATCTGATGAGCAGGTGCAAAGAATAGTATCATTAAAAATTAATGCTTTAAAAAGATCATGGTTTTACAACAAACATTTTAAAGAAGATAACTGCACAGTAACTGAAAGGGTGTGAGATTTAACCATAGACTTGATGTACTCAGCAATATAAAGAAAACACATCTCTAAGAAGCTAAAACCTGCTGTAATCAAAACAGTAACACTGTTCAAGCTCCATCCGAAGACTGATGTTGCCGCTTTGAGCAGAAGAGTGTTTGTTATCTGCGTCCTAGAAACCCTGGTTGTCTGTTTGCCACGCGGGTACAGGACGCGCAGCAGGCTGTTTTGTAATAGGTGTAGACACAGAGCCGGGCCTGAACCACCACGTTGCAATTGTAGTACTTATCTTTGCAGTTCTCATCTGCGGAGACAAAAGGAGAGAGAAGAAACTGAAAAACGCAGTATTAGAGCAATAAATAACCAACCCCCTTTCTTTTATCATGTAAAATCCCTTGGACCTGTATTTAAACATTCATTGTCAGGTTAAAATAGGCTACCTATGCAAATAACGTAGATTATTCAAGATTTCATACATTTAATATAAAGATCTATGAAACTGTGGAAGAAATGTACCTATCCCCATTTATACTGTTGTGGGGTTTTGTTGCTGTTTGTTTTAAACACAAAATTTGTCTCGAATGAAGATGATAGGAAAGTCTCTAGTATTCTTCACTTAGGTACCCCTCCACTTAATTTTTAGATTCACAGGTACTAATCTCTTGTGGCAGCAGAACCTGCAAATGTTATTTTCAAGTACTGATGAATCTAAATATTGGAAAATAGTAAACCATCTCCTTCCTTGCAAATATTACAAATGGTTTAAAAAAACTAGATAAAAAAAAGACAAAAGTTGCTGCTCTTAGCTTCCCCATTCATTTAAGCAGTTGGAATGTGGTCTGTTCACATTTGGAAGTTTTCCTTTACAACCAACAGGGTTAGAAATACGTTTTAAGTGACAACTAAGAGTTTAATTTGATCATGTATGTGATCACAGAAACTGAGGTGTTAAAAAAAAGACAAGACTGAATGACAAAACACTAATAGCAGATGTAAAAATTAGCAGTTCTGTACAGAACTGTTTTAAATAAAGAAATAACACAAATACAATAAATTTTTAAAATAATATTTATAGTAATCTTAAATTATGTTGAAGAATAATTCTCAACTGAAAATTGTTGTAGAATGTAAGAGTTAAAACTGTTTCTAAATACCTGCATCTTGCTTTCCCTAGTCATTCTCATTACTATTAAAATCAAATCTGTATGAGATGAAGGACTAATGCCAATGTTACGTGTATGTGTATATTTACTACATATAAAAGAAAATTGCTTAATTGTCCTTAATGTCTTGGTTTAATGTTACTGGTTCTTTATAGAACCTGTTACCAAATACAATATATTGCACATGATCCTTTTTTGTTTTAAAGACTCTGCGAAATGAAACCTTTGAGAATGCAAGGAGGCTGCCTAGAAACACCCTATATGTACCATTTTCACAGAAGCAGATTCTCACATTCTCAGCAACTTTAAAAGTAAGCCAGTTTCTTACACGTTCTTGCAAGGAAAACATTTTTAATCAGAAATGAAAACCTACTTTTACACCACAGAGAAGAACTGTAAAAATAAAACCCTGAACTTGATAAAGAAAACGTACTCTAAAACCTCTGCAAGATTATTAAATGTGTTCTCCACTAGATGGAGTTCCACAGTTAAAACAGAAGCTTCCTACCTATTTCAGGGATACAATCGTGTGTGTTACATGGTTCTTTTTCTTCAGGTTTAAGCTGTGGATCACACTGAGTACTGGCTGTCATGTCATCCGATAGACATCGTACCTCTCGAACCCGAAATCCTCCTTCACAGGATTTGGAACACTGAAACACAAAAGCTGAAGTTCATGAAGACCATATGAAATGTGCAAATACAGAAAGAAAAAAATGGGAACCTTGAAGCCAGACCCAGGGATCGCAGTAGCCTTTTATCAACTTCACCACTTCTGTTGCTTTTTGTTTTCTAACTATAAAGTCCGTAACATACAGTGCAACTCCATTAAAGGTTCAAAAGCATTTTTGACCACAGGGCAACAACTGCACAAGTAAATGTGGTAGACACTGAGCAAATGAAAGCATGATAGAATATTTCCCTTTCTGACATTATTAGCTTCTTGTTTCTCTTATTAGTCCTGTTTTTCTCTGCTTATTTATATATATCTCCAAATCATAGAATCATCTAGGTTGGAAAAGACCTTTAAGATCATTGAGTCCAACTGTTAAGCTAACAGTGCCAAAACCACCACTAACCCATGTCCCTCAGCACCAAGTCCATGTCTTTTAAATACCTCCAGGGATGGTGACTCAACCACTTCCCTGGGCAGCCTGTTCCAGTGCTTGACAACGTGTTTGGTGAAGCATTTTTCCCTAATATCCATCCTAAACCTCCCCTGGCAAAACTTGAGGCCCTTTCCTCTTGTCCTATCACTTGTTACTTGGGAGAAAGACCAACCCCCACCTCACTACACCCTCCTTTCAGGTAGTTGTAGAGAGCGAGAAGGTCTCCCCTCGGTCTTCTTTTCTCCAGGATGAACAAGCCCAGCTCCCTCAGCCACTCCTCATAAGACTTGGGCTACAAACCCCTCACCAAATCCCTTGTTCTTTGGACACGCTCCAGCACCTCTGTGTCTCAAAACTGAACACAGCGGTCAAGGTGGGGCCTCACCAGTGCCCAGTACAGAGGTACAATCACTTCCCCAGTCCTGCTGGCCACACTATTCCTGATACAGGCCAAGATGCTGTTGGCCTTCTTGGCCACCTGGGCACGCTAATATTCAGCTGGCTGTCAACCAGCAGCCAGGTCCTTTTCTGCAGGGCAGCTCCAGCCACCCTTCCCCAGGTGTGTAGCGCTGCAGGGGGTTGCTGTGACCCAAGTGCAGGACCCAGCACTTGGCCTTGTTCAACCACCTCGTACCATTGGCCTCAGCCCATTGACCCAGCCCATCCAAATCTACTCTCATCACAGGGTTCACATTTCTTACTTAAACTTCCTGCACCAAACTTTAGTATTTGACTGCACTGCTCTCCACTGCCCTTTTGCCTCCATTTATATACAATCGGGAATAACTTTAATTGCTTTTTTCCTAGCCTCAATTAATTTTTCACTTCTTGCAGCACAACAATTTTACAAAGCATAATAGGTTTCTTTGAATTTTTAAAGAAAATATTTCTGTGCTCCTTCAAAGTCTGTTACGAAGCCAGAGACTTTTGTACTTGCTTGTCATGGTATTTTTAAAGCCAATTATTACACATCTCTGCCCATGCTGAAGCAAATCCCCTGTTGACTTCAAGAATTTTGCCTGAGTGAGGTCTCTGAGATTTGGCTCGCTGTCCAGTTTGACCTAAATGCTCACAAACTTAATTAAACCTGGGTCGTTTACAATGATCAAAACCTTAATAGCCCCAAACTAGTAAGAATGTTTTCTTTCTTAGTTTTTGGCATAATTATTTCTCCTAACATTGCAAAAACAACTTATCACTATCACAAAATCAGATATTGTAGCAAACTAAGTAAAATACTGTCAATAATGTATTCTTAAATTGTTCATTCATCTTTAAGTACAGCCTCTCCGCACCCTATAAAAGACATAGCCCTGTGGCGACAATAGAACACTTACAGTTTTTTATATAATGACTCTTGTTACCTGCCTGTATAGAATACTGTAATTAGCCCACATCCAACAATAAGAACTTCACCTCAGGTTTGTAGAAATCTTAAGCACTTAAAATGGAACCAAGACAGAACTTAGATGTTACATACAACACACTACACACAAACCCCAGCATTCTGCATTACCCAGCCATTTAATCCCCATGACTGAGGCCACGCCATTTATCCGGGGTCATATAAAAACTCTGCTGAGGCTTTGAACTGGACAGATTCAAAACTTAGTGCAGGGGCTTTGAACCCGCTATTCTGCTCACAGTTCACCCCATGATCCTTTCTCTTCGGGTCTAACAGTAAGAAATACTGCATACTCTGTGGATAACAGTAACAAAATCAGAAGAAGAATTGAAAAAAAGCTTAGAATATGATCTTGTAAAACCTCAGCTAACATAGGCATTTGCTCCTACAGTGAAGATGGTCACAGAGGCTTAGACGTCTAAGGATTTTTAGACACCAATTCTTAGGAAGTAGGCACTTGAACAGTAACTAAATACTTATCAGATTCTGAGTCTTAGTACCTTGTTGCCTTTGTGCCTGCCAAAGAGAGAATATATTTTCACTTTCAGAAGTCTATCTGCTGCATTCTATGGATGTGGACAGCTGTATCTCTTATGGCTACATGCCTGCAGGTTCACATTTGGAAACAGGTTCGCTAACGGGTTTGCTAAGGGGAAGTTATTTAATCTAATCTAACAGCTCAGTAAAGAATCACACGAATTTCCAGCAACGTCAAAGAACACACTTCATTCTACGTGGCTGTATTATGTGGTTAACTTGGATGTTGTTTTCAAATAAACATCTATACCTACAATTAAGGAAGAAAAATCAGGATTCCCTTCAGCTAATTTATTTTGTTAAAACCATTCTACCTTCTTTTCTGCTTTCTAGTGCTGCCAGTAGAGCAGACAAATAATTGAGCATTTAGTAAAAGGGAAAAGCAAAATAATTTCTCTCTCTCATGCCATGTGGATGAGGTATTTCCAAAGGTTCCTGACTAAAGGAACTCAAACTGAAGGCATCTGAGGTCCTTCCATATTTCAGAGTTGTCATTCTTAATTTGATATACGGCTCAAGGAAGAGTGTAACTTACTACATTAGGTATGATGTCATCTAAGTAGTTTTCACACCATTTTTCATTTTAAGACAACAATGGACTTCCTGATTTTCATTTAGGAGAAAAATGATGATTCTTTGTAAAAGTCCAATAAGCTTTGTTGAGTATAGGAAATGATGGATAGATAGATGAAACCAAAGCATTTTGTGGCACTGGTGAATGTAGCTGGGCCACTTCCAGGGGAAACTGAAGATACATGAAGCTCTATACTAAGCTTTCTTTTCGTAAAGTATTACAGTGAGGAGTTTACAGTAAAACATTATGCTAAAACTGACTTTAAAAACTGAATACATCCCTCTTTCTTTATTAAATGCTCCTTAATTTCAATGAAACTAGAGGTCTGAAAAGAACTTGTTAGTGTGCTACATGGTCTCATTAAAGCGGAAACCAACTATAAACCAGAAAGAGATCAGTGATGAAAAGACAACCACGCAGTGTCTCCTTCCGGTCAAGACTTTTCCAAACTTTCCTAAGCTCCACTGGGTACTAAAGAATGCACTTTCTTTTTAGCATTATTCTGTGCAAGATTAAGTCAAGTTCATGATCAACAGTTTTATCCAAATAGTGTTTCCTTTCAATACACACAGAAAAAGACATATCAAACAAAACTAGATTTTGAAAAGCATGATGGACTTACTGTGCTCCATTCGGTATGAAACCACTTAGATCCACAGGGTTTGAGGTAGCAGGATTGCTGGCTGGGAGGTTTTTCCAAATATGAACATTCATAGGGGTTCAAAACATCAAAATTACCTTCAGTTTTCCTAACACAAATTACTTCTCTCTGCTGAGTTCCACTGCCACATTCAGTAGAGCACTGTATCAAAGAACAAAAAAAAGGAGTGGAATTTTTATTCTACTTATTTCCTTCAACTTGTTTCCAAAGTAACATGTTTCTCCACATTATTTGTTTCTGAAATAAAACACACACACATACACACATGCTTGCATTTTAAACTAATATTCAAACAGGAAAATTTGTACAGTTTTGCTTATTCCCTATTCTTGGACACATATCTATACAATAACATCCAAAATCTGTTTCCTTAATTTTATAGGTTCTTTCCTCAGTAAAATGAACTTAACCGTATCTTTTCTTCCATCACTAGCATATATCTGACTTGAAGAGAAAGGAAAAGGGTAAAGTATTCCTTAAGTTCCTGCAGTGGGGTTTTTATCTCTCAGAACAAGAACAGCAGCCTAGATAAGCCTTGGGTTATCATTATGATTATTTGTACGTAGTACTAACATAGCAGCCAGCAGTCCCAGTTAGGAACCAGGACAAGAATATGCTGAAGGGTACAGTGATGAGTTAAATTACCAAGTGACTACTGACTATAAGTGTCAGGAATTACATATTTACTTTTTAGTCTTAAAAATCATTACAGCAGTTAAAACTGTACTTCTGTGAATTTTTATTCCACATGGGACCACAGACTCAAAACATATTTCTAATTATTTTTATTAAGAAGAAGATACATGACTGTAAATGTGCTTTTGGAGAAATCTAAAATTGTAGTTTTACCCGTAGCTACAAAAAGAAACTGGTATTTATTTTTCTAATAAAAAGGGAAGCATGACTTACTTTCTCCATAAGCAGTGTAACTGCTTCGTGTTGAAGCAGGATTGTATGCACTGCACAGTAGGGTTACAAGGTTAGAGCACAGTTTTGCAACTTTACAAATCCCCACATTCTGTGTGGTTTTTAGAAAATGCCTTGATCTGCCAGGGTGTTCTTTTCATGTTTGCAAGTATCTATGTGATGCAGTGTTCGTTCCAGTTCTGAAGAGCAAATTTGACTCACATGGACTCTTACTGCCCATTTAAAGGTTAAATACACACACAAGACTGTTCCTGGCACTTGTAAAAAGGTTTTTAGAAGATGATTCCAGCAACATATTGGTTTCTACATTGCATAAAGGACTATGATTTTCAAAGGCTTTTTCTAGCTTAAACCAAACGTTATTAAAAGTGGGGGTTTTGTTTATATTTTGCGTGGAATTTATGATCCCTTTACCAGACACCCACAAAAACCTTGAGCTGAATGAAGAACCTTGAGCTGAAAAATTCTACAGGAAATAACGTAACTGCACTTTCTTTAACACTGAACATTTCCATCACTGCTGTCTTTTAATGGTTTCTCCAAAAGACAGAATCTTAGCATTCAGCCTTAGCTCCAGCAGAGCAGAATACAGAAGGTCATCCACCAGTGCTCCCTCCTGCTCTCATCTACTGACCGGCTGCTTTCAGCTTGGGTTTGGCCACCAGAACAGATGTTGTCAGACACTTCTTTCAGATAACATAGAGCAAAGACCTTGTACCTTTGATATGCATCAAACAATTCAATCTCATGCAAGGAAAGAAAGTGAATTAGCTTAAAAGAACGGGAAATTGTAAAGGACGTAAACTTTCTTATTTGGAACAGAATGGGGAGGGTTAGGATGACCTTATTGAACACTTCCCTCGGTGGCAGCAAGAATGGTACAAAGTTCCTGTTCACCTGCGTCGAGTGCTGTTAAGTAACAAGGCCCAGACTTTACCCATATTAGAACTACAACTAAGTGTGTTTTAAATCTGAATTTGTTATTACTCTTACACAATACAAATAATTACCACTTGTGCTTGACAGCGTGAGCATAGCAGTAGCCCTGTAATCTCCAACTCAACTGTACCAGTTTAATTTCCAACTCCTTATCACCTGGTAGGATCTTGGAATCTAAAATGCAGGGAGTTAATGGCACAGCAAAGAGGCTTTTCCCTCGCAACTCGATGACGTGCTGGTACCAGCAGTCAGGGAGGCTCTCCACGCTGTATGGGAGCCTACACAAAGGGACATAAATGTCTGGGCACCAGCTTCTGAAATGCCCTTGTTCCTGACAAGAGAAGTGTTTATTTAAAATGAGAAGGACTACTGAGATGCAGATCAAGGAAAGAATTCACCTTGAGGAAACAGCATCAAGATACAGTCACAAACCAAATTTTGTTCTTTTTACCTATAATGAAGAATTTCAGCACAACAATACTGAAGCTAACTTTTGGGTTTAGCCATTGTTCTCCTTATTCGTTTTCTGGAAATTCCCTATAGATATAGTTATATCTCCCTGCAGGTATGCATGATCACAAAGACTCTGCTTTAAAAGGTGCAAATGTGTTGCTTTAGTGTTCACCTGAATATGCTAAGCAGCTTTCTGTTATCTTTCATTTTATAAATACACTGGGTCAATAAATGAGAAAAAAAAATGAAGGCCCAGAGGAAAAGAAGAAAAAAAAATCTTATTTTCATCAAAGTAAAACAGCAGCTGCTGAAAAGTATTGAGCATGAACTCAGCAAAATACAGAAAAAAAATTATCCACAGAGATGTAGAAATACCCGTAGGCACACATCTTCATTGCACAAAAATACATTTTTTAAATTCAAGTGCCATCAGGAAAGAAATACCTATGTTAGACATAGAGCTTACCTGTGTCCAGGCCCCAGCAAACCACTCCACTTTACCAGCACAGGGCCCGTTGTTGCAGGAAGTCGTTTCCGAGGGTCTGTTGTTGCCACAGCCTTCCAGGGGCAAACTGCTGACGTGGTTCGTCATACACACCACGGAGCGCGTCCGGACGCCCTCACCACATTCTGCAGAACACTGGGGACCAAAAGACAGGACATGGTCACTAGTCCACCCTCCAGACTCCACAATGAAATGAGAAGCAACAATCATCAAAAGTCAATTAGTTTATGCAAAGTCTATTATTTTTACCTGTAATTCAGCTGTAGTGAATCATGTTACAGTTTCATACTTTTGAATACATTACAAGTAGTACCTGCCCTTTACAGTCACAAATGAAAGAAATCAAAGGATTAGGGAAGAAATCTATTTTTATAGCTTTTCATTAGCTTTCTTACTTTTCCTTCCTTCCTTCTTAATGTCTCTAAACTCTTTCTGTTTTCATTTTATTCATCTCTTTGCATACCAATTAATAGAACTGCAAAGGGATAATTTCAATAAGCAGCTTTTCAGCCAGCAGTCATATTTCAGCCTTTGAATGTTCTATGCGTTTCTCCTCCAACCATTCAAGCTGTCAGGCAGGTGAATTTCAGAACGTAAAGAGATACTTATGTACTCCACAGGAATAAGGAAAAAATACTCATATTTTGGAATGGTTTCTTTCCCCATCTGCAAGATGAAATAATTAAGCTTCTCTTAAGTCATGAACTATTTTTTTGTTGATGGTGCACAACAAAATTGTGCACTTCCACACAGATACGTAAAATATACTTACCTCCTCAGCACACCAGATTTGGTGGCTAAGGAGGTCTTTTTAAAGTAAACTGGCAAAATCTTGAAAATACAAGAATGGTGTAAATTGTGCTAGTAGTGAATATTTTCCTGTTTATGTAAACTAAAACTAAACTAAATCCAATCCATTTCAAACAGTTCAGTTCTATCTAAACTGACTGTTTGACTGAGCCCCACAAAATGGCTTCCTTTCAAACCCACTGTACAGAAATAAATTTTGTGGCTGTTCATATTTTATCCTCGGCAAGGATGTTCAATTATATTATGCATAGAGAACTATGCATATTCTCTGCAAATACTTTTCCTATTTCGAAGTAATTTTCATTTGACAATCTAATTTGCTTTTCTGCTTTGCAAACCAGAGCTGGGAACAAGCTCGGTCTATAAAGTCATCCAGAAAATCTCCACAGTCTTATGTTTTAAATGATTATGCATGAACTAGGCTTACATATCAAATAACAAAGGAAATACCAAATGGGAAGGTATAGGGTTGTCCCACCCTCTGCTGCAAGATTTTACTACAGATTAACTACCCTCAAAGGATTTACAAAGCAAACTTAAACCCAAATGTTTCTGCATTAAGTATTTGGGTTTTCTTTTTTTTTTTTCTTCCTTTCAGTAAAAATCTTCCATGTGAAAGCCATGATTTCCAAATCCCAAGGCAGGGAGTTGGGAGTGTTTGGATAATGAATCCTCTCCTGTTGGTTTTCCCAACTGACACACCCACTACTTTCAATTTCGTGCCATTGATTTGTTGTGTTAATACATAGTAACTGCCATAACCTAACATCAGGAACTTTCACAAGCTGCAACTTCTCTGTTCTGGTCCTATTATTAAAGATATTTTGTTTCACTGTCTTGTTTTAATTGGCAGAACTTCCTCAGAAACCTTAGTCTGTGGAACACCCTCCCTAGTTTTAAGGAGTCTGCCATTTCTCCTCTTCCTGAGGTCCTTCTCTCATGAGTTCAGATTCAGAAGCTTTCCATTCCCATTAAAAACTAAAAATAAAATTTAAAACACCCCTAATCCAGTGCTCTGGTAGTTGTCAGAAAACAACTGTAACAGCAGTCCAGGAAAATAAGGCCGGTTCCTGCAAACTTGGGGAAGTACAAGTGGAAGCTGGATCTTTGTCAGAGCTGCAGGGCACGGCACAGCAACAACCCCTTGCCCGGTGCCAGTTCCCATTCGGGAACGTGCCAGCCCTACCCACTGCCCTCCACTGGAGCTACAGGAAACCTACCAGAACCCCGGAGCCCTTTCACCCGGGTCTCGGCATCATTGCTAGCCTTAATTAAATTCCAAAATAACAGCCAACCAAGTGCCAGTAAAATGCCCCCGTTCGTGCAGGATTTCTGTCCATCACATTTTAACCTTCCTCACCTTAATTATTCCCCACAAGACAGTAAAGTTTTTTATGAGTCATCCTCCTGATGTTACACTACTGCAAAAAATAAAAAAGAAGCTCTATTTTTTGAAATACATTTATGAAACTCCTAAGGAGTATTTGACCTACTCTGAGAAAATCCCTTTCAGAATGGATTTTAGAAGGATTATGTAACCTTTGTTTTCCCAATAATAAATGAAGAATTGTATTTCAGAAGCTCACTTTTGCTGCAGTTCCAGGATTGGGGGCAGATTTTCAAAGGATATAAAACTGTTAACAACAGCCTTGATTTCTTAAAAAAAAAAAAAAAAGAAAAGAAAAGAAAAGGAAGAAGGAAAAAGAAAGGGGGGGCATAGGGGGTGTAGGTCAGAAATACCCTTATGTATTGCTAAAACACTTTCTGATATCTGCATTTGAGTTATTTCCCTTCAGAGTGCATCTATGCATGCAGTAGGTGCTGGATCAGAAGTCAAACCATCGCTGTATTTATTCTAGCAGATCCATTGTGTCCTTCCAAAGTAACAAAAGTTTTGAAATATAGTCTTAGAATTTCTGGACACTTCAGCTGGGTCCTGATTGCTTCTGCATACGCACTGTTACTCTTCTATATGCATTGGTAACTCTGCTGGCACTTACATATTACTAATGCTCTCTGAAATAAGTAACATTAGGGAACAGACTTCTTCACTACTCTGGCTCATACAATAAATATCACTTGTCTTGAGAGCTGTAAGGACTTCTCAGGCCCTGAATGCACCCATCTGCCTTTACTGGCCACCATCAGCCACACCTGGGGCCTCCACCCATACCCTTGCCCATGGCCCAGGGTCTCCATTCAACCTCAGCCCTGGTCCATCTGTCCCTGCTTGAGCTTTATCAGAGACGTGCCCTCAGCCCGGGCACGGCCCTCATTATTCCCTCTCTCTTGACTCACTTCCCAGCTTGACCCTGACCCTGCCTCATCGCCATGGACCTGCCCCAGGATCACTGGGCTGTGTCCGACCCTGGGTACTATCACCAGAACTGACCTTGGCCTTGGACCTGCCTCATCACCATGATCCTGCCTGATACTCTGGACTCTCCTTTGCCCCGGCCTGCCACCTATGAGCCTGCCCTCCTGACCGAACTGGGATGCTGTTGGCCCCAGCTGGCGCGTCTCCTCCCTGCCAGGCAGACTTTTATATGCTGGTTTTCATCTAAAGCAGCTGAATTGTGGCAAAGACAGATCAGCTCTACAGAAGAAGACAGAAATCTCTGTAGGACTTGGCGACCCTTCTATCGCCGTCTCTTTCAAAACTCTCCTGGCTGTATGTTTCATTGCAAATCATGAAGTGAGTTACAGATTATACACAAAGAACACAAAACTTCTATTTCCATATGATTCCCACATGAAAACAATACAAAGGGGTATTTTACCTTGTTTTAATTTTATACTGAAAACAAATAAACAGTGATAACCAAAAATAACGAAACGCCTGCACAAGCTCCATGGTGGTCTCTTTTCCTTTGTTTTTTTTTCAGGACCCAGGGATTTTACGTGAGCTATCCAGATTTAAATAAAAAACAGTGAAAGAAGAGTGTGAGTTACAATACTCATTAGTGCTTCCACGTTTAACTGGTCAACAAACCCACTTGTACCTGTTGGGTAATGCTTCAGGATTGTGAGGAATAAAACATTAGATTTTACAAAGCATGTTACAGTTCTCTAATGGAAGATATTACAGAAGCATCACTGTTACTCCTTTTAATGAATAGTGAAATCCAGAGCATGCGTTTGATCTGGTTTGATTTTGTTCCCCTAGGGGCAGCATTTTTTCTTTCTTCCCAAGATTTTATTTTGGCCTCAGAATCTCATTAACATCTAAGAATTGTTTGTATTTTGGCTTCTTTTCTGCGTATGCTCTAAACATAAAACGAGAAACAAATGAGCAGAGGAGATGGCAATGAGGAATAAACAAAAATGCAAGAGGGGAATGCTCCAGTTAGCTGGAAGGAAACACTGGCGGGTCTCCCATTGCTGTAAATCAGTTTCCCGCTTCTGACCCACCGGAGAAGTAAACTTTCCAGCAATTAGAGCTGTCAAAGAATCAGTCATGTGAAATGTTTGCAAGAATCTCATCTGCTCCCATCAATCCAAGTTTGTTGCTAAGTTCAGTAAGGTTCACCAGCTTCACTCTACTGATTAATGGATGCAGTTTGGTGGAATTCTACCATTTTAACACAGTATGACATTTTAGGAGAATTATGAGACAGGAAGCAATCTTTCTACAAACGCACGTAAAAAGACCACAAAAGTTTGTCCAGACTCTCTATCGTCAAACGGGGTTAAAGATCATGTAGAAGACAAAGCCATGAAACTTAATTCTCTTATTTATACTCAAGATAGAGCAATAAATGTAAAGACAGCCATATACTAAGATGAGTCTCACTTTGCTGCTAGAGACTTGTAACCTGTAATCTTTCCCACTGACATGAGTAGAAATTTCTGTTTCTCTCCAGATTGAACCTGGGGCATGTCCGAATATGGTGGTTAGATCTACTTCAGAGACAAATAACAGAGCATATACTTTTCAGAAAATAAAGGTTTGTTTCTTAAGGATGAATTGCTTTCCTTCCTTCACATGTCCCACCAGTGTGACCATGGCAGCCGTCCAACTCAGAAGCTTTGCAGGTAAAAGCTCTGTGTGTGTGTAACATACATGCAATGAACTCTGGTACCTGTTTATCACATTAACTCAAATCAAGAACTGTATTGTTTTAGAAACATGTAAGTTTTTTAAACTACTTAGGATTAATTATGTATATAAAGAATTGGTCTGCACAGAAACTGAATCCAAGAAGGTCAATGCCATGGAGGAAAACAGGTGGGCCACAAAATACACCAATACATGTTGTGGGAAAATAAGGCAGGAGAACACGGTGAGAAGGCAGCCAAGTGCTATGTATGGAGTAGAGCTACCTACAGCCCACCCCGGGAGGAGGCGCTACTCCTACACACAGCTCTGCATGCACTCTGCACGTTTTTAAGTGCACATATGTTGTATTGCAGAAGTTACATTTAGGGAAATTTAATGACATAATCTTCAAATTCCAAACCACAGAAACCATTAATGAAAATGAAGGCAACTAGCATGATTTTGCATAATTTAAAACTTTGCAAGGTTTCAGTAAAATAAGAAAACCCCAAATCTTTCCACCAATCCTAAACTATTCCTAAATCTTGTCCTTTTCTTAAAACTCAGATGTGACTATTCATCTCTTTTTCTCCCTGTGTTAAAGAATAACCTTGTCAAATTCTGCACAAATATTTATCACAGTTACCAAATCCTGAAATTTAACATCTGTTGGCAGCAAAGACAATTGTAATTTTTATGTTACTGCACTTTTTCTTGATGTTTCGCTAATTAACCAAGGCTATACTGTAATGCCCCATGCCTCACATAAATCCGGACAGGGAAGTTTGATATATCCCTTGCTGAAAGAGAAACTATGTGCCTAACTGATCTCTGACAGGCCTCTGGAAATCTCTACTTGTGGCATGTGCAAGAGTGCACATGAAGTGTTTGCAAAATGGGTTCAGAAAAGTACAGTCCAGGCCTTCTCTTACAGCTGTAACCAAGTTTGAACTCAACCATTTCAAAGTTCCAACGTTCTCAAAAGTTATGATAAGTTCTTTTACCTCTTATTTCTAGCCATGGCCGAAATGTCAGAATACAATGGGAAAGACTGTTCTGTGGTATTTCCAGCTGGGACTTGAAGTAGGCATGTAATAAATCTCACAAAGAAGGTCTGTTCTTGTGAGATTTCCACCACAGTTTTGCAGACTCAAGAGGTTTGAACAAGCTTTCTTTTAGCATTTGAACTTTTGGCTGCTTATCTGAACCATTTGTGGCTGCCCATCGCTGATCTATGCTTATTGCTGAAGTGTGGCTTGGCTTAAAGTAATTTTTAAAGAATTGTTTGGGGAAATTACACATGCAAAGTCCATACACCTGGGAGTGCCCATTTCTATTCCGTGACAGAATTCTCCTCTTGTCTTTCAATAGAAACACACTCTTCAACAGAGAAAGAGAGACTCCTGATCCTAAAAGACAGCCCTTGAAAGGCACAATGAGAAAGCTAATGGCCAAAGGCTGGATTTGCAAAGCTATTGACTACCCCTGTATTCCACTGACTGCCACTGGAATCTCTGCCACAACGTCTCTGAACATCTGAGTTACAAGGTATGTGTGAACCTTAGGAGACTTTGCACATTCTAGTCCGAATCTACTTTTTTCCTGAAATAAGCTGTTCCTTCCATTCTCTTTGAGAATCAAACTCCAAACCCACTGCTGGCAGAAGTGATGGTGGATAATGCCAACTACGGTAGCAAGCATTTGGAAGAAATTAATTTGTACACTTATATAATCTGAGAAGGTAACAAAATCCATTCTTTACTCTCTGACCCTAAAATGTTTGTGGTAAGAAAAAACTCCAACATTTTCCGTATTACCTGCTTCACTTTTATGTGTCATTTAATACACATAAATAAGCATAATAACGTTCTACAGTCATAACCTTCAACTACAAAACCTACTTTTAATTCTGCAGAGGACAAAATATCAATGTAGAGTAATGAAGAAAACACTGATGCTAGAGTCTTCACTGGAATGTATGTGCTTTATGTGGTGGAACTGCACCAGCTGATAGTTGCTGGGCCAGCTTTTTCAAGAAAGATGTCTTTGAGGGTAGAATGCATTTTTCTCTCTTACTTGTAAAATATCACTTTACTAGCACTGTACAAAGAACAGCTCTATAAGCTAAAATGAAAAAAAAACCAAGCACTGCCACTGCCCCTACAGCAAAAACTTTGCCATTTGCACTAATACCTCTACTTGGTAACTTTCTGTCCATGCTACGCCAGAGGGTACACTGAGGGAATAACAACTAGAAACAAAAGTTCAAATGACAACAACAAGGATTTATTATTGTATAATTTTTTTTTTTTTTTTTCTAAAAATCTATTTGAGTTGTCTGGAGCTGAAAATTTTGCAGGCCTTTAATTGCAGCATGAGTCTGATCAGCCTTTTTAACATGATGTGACATACCAGGTACCTGTCCTACTTGTGAAGTTCCTCCTTCTCTGCAACTAAAACGTGGAAAATCTTCTGAGTGTCCAAACTAATACATAAGCAATGAACCAGACATTCCTAGCCTTCAGAGATACTACCACAAAATTATCTAAATAATGAATCTGTGAAGTTCTGGATGTAATCTTACAGCTTCAACAATAAATCGTATTATTTGTCTGCCAAAACAACAAGTCAAAAGAAAGGGAGATGGGATTTTACATACTGAAGGCTCAACTTGTCTACGGATGAAATTGATATGCAAGCATCCACAAGAGGGACCAAAATACCAGGCTCTTCTTAGCCTACGTTTGTAAGCCTTTTACTAAAAGCATGTAAATATCACTACTGAACAACAACTCTGGGCCCAATCATGAAACAAGGCAAATCACCACTGGTTCTATTGCTCTCATGCAGAGAATCTGACTCACTGGAATAAAAAATACATCCACGTTCACAAAGTACAAAAGCAAGAAAACGTGAATCAACCTTGGCTGAGTTTATGAAGTTGTCCCCCTCTTTTCACAGCTATAGGATAATTGTTTTATGGCTTGAACTTAAACCCAGACACCAGGCCACAAACCTCCATCCCTTAAAAAAACAGTAGGGAAACTTTTAGAGTCTGAATCTTGAGACTCAGAGCTAAGCAAGGCAGAATAATAAATCTCAGCACACTCAATATTTTGGGAATTTCAGACACAGAGCCAATTCTAAATCCAGATGTTTGGCCGTATACCCACATGCTTGCCCTTTCCATGCATGCTTGTATCTAACACAAACTCAAGATGCCTTTGAGATCATTATTTTTTTGTTTGCTCTTGCCTGTTTAACAGATCAAGGATAAACATGGAAAATAAGGTCACTCCTTTTATGGCTGTAGAGATTGTATTTTTTAGAAGATTTGGCAGCACAAAGATAATGAGAAGCCTTACCCTGTCACTCCACTCTGTAAGGAACCAGCTCTTAGCACAGGGACCCATGTCGCAGTTCTCAATGTCATTTGGTCGCAGCTTCATGTTACATTCCTCATCATCAACGATGTCCCCAAGGTTGCTGACACATTTCACATCTCGAGTCCTCTGCCCCACTCCACAAGGCACCGAGCACTGTAATGAAAGGGAGACTGCATCAGGACTGGGCAAGAACAGCAGTGGTTCATCAGGGAGCTGGGAACAGCTCATTCATTCCTGCCAAGACATCCACAGAAGCTATAGAACTACTGTAGACTGCTAGGAATAGGGAATAAAAGTGCATTAGTAGTTTTAAATCATATTCTCAGTCTGTAGCATGCTACAGTATACTATGCAGACACATTTGGCAAACATAAACTTAAATCCTATCTTCAACAGGCCATACTGACCTTATCAAAATGAACTACCTGAACAGCAGGCTGGCATATTCTGCATAATTTTGACCTTGACTATTAAGCTCATATGAAGCAAGAGAAATGCAAAGAAACACAACTTCTGAATCCCTCTTACAAATAAAGGCTACCTTCTTCCACTCTCTTTTCTTCAACCTCAGAGAACGCTCATAGCTATTCATATCTCTGCCTGATGATGTGAAGCATCCAGATCATGAAGCAAGATGGCAACATAATTTTCTGCTGTGTACACATGTGTATTAAAATCTTAAGATGGACTTACTTTTAGATCATAGATGTGTCTCCAAACTGAAAACCTAACTGTACTTCAGTAAGCACAAACACAAATGAATCCTCTACTGAAACCAGTTTGCAAACTCAATTGCTCCTTTCTTTATGATGGATCTTCCTCCTACCAAGAAGTTTAATTTTACTTCCAAAAGGAAATTAATCACATAATTTTATTGGAATTACATTTGTATTCAACCAGCTACAATTTCTAACACATTTGTTTGGCTAACTGAAAGAGATTTGTTTATCACTACACCTAAAACACCAGGATATTTTCTCTTTCACACAATGGCCATGCAAGTTTCTAGGATGGTTGTCAGGTCGTCCAAATCTTGTGTAAAGAACACAGAAATTAAAGCTCCAAACTGTACTGTTCACATTCATCTGAAGTCTTGGCGTAGCCTCAAACCAATTGCAGTAACAGCAACTGCTGACTCTACCCTTAATACATATGTAAGGTTAAATAAGTCCTGGAACTAAACTCTACATGCTATGAGAGAGAGCAGTAAGTTTGCCACCACAGCAAACCTATCAGAACTCTCCCAACTTTGCTTCATACAGTATTTAAGAAAAAAAAGCATTGCTCAGAATGCTTGTGTGCTTCTGCAGACGCACATCTGTGTATTTTTTACTATTCAATCACTCTTTTTCAGCTTCTTTCTGGTTACAAAAAGTAACCTTCAATGCTCATAATTGAGTGGGGTTTTCTTGAACTAAGATTCATATATTTCCAAGGCTTTAAACATTCCACCTTCCCTGTTTTAAGCAAAAACAAATTTCACGTTTGATTAGTGATACCTGAAGAAAATTCTTATTTTTTTCTGAGGTTTTATGCCCCACATTAATGAATCATACTTACTGAAGTCCACTCTGTCCTAATCTGCCATTCACTGCAGATCTTCAGCTGGCAGGTGCTGGTTGTCTCTGGTTTCTCCAGGTGATGACAGCGGTACTGCTGTACCGTCAGGGTGCGGTTGGCGTACATCTGCCGGCACAAGATCTGTCGATGCTGCATACCAAGGCCACACGTTTTGCTGCACTCAGACCACTCCCCTATATCCCAGCTAAAGGGAGAAGAAAAAAGAGGAGGTATTTTTTCAGGAAGGAGTTCTCTAATACTGATCTTAACAGAGCTCAAAGGACATGATTCTGATGCTAGTACACAATCCAAAATATAACACTTTTTTAGGCGAAGCCTCCACATGCATAACTTGATCCTTTATAAAGATGACATTATATACTTGTAACCAATCTACCTGTAGTGGTTTATAAAAACAAGCACTCACACAGATTGCACAATTCATGGTTTCAAGATATATTGCAAACACTAATTAAGCCACTAATAGCTGTTTATTTTTTAAAGGATCTATCTATAATATAAATTACTGCTCTATGTAGACTTGCCATAAAATTTTTTTGCAGCAAAGGCTCTAAAAAATGACAATATCAGAAGAATCACATAATGCATCCAGGCATTCATTCACCAGTAAAACTGAAATAACAAATTATAAGCAATGAAAAATACATCTAATTTTAGAGAAGGAAAAAAGCCCTAGATATATTCTTCTCATTCCAAGATTTCACTGTATTCATTTAATCACTTTTGTATAAACATGTCATTTCCCCCTTTCAGTTTTCATTTCGAGCATGAAGACGTACACAAATAAGGGAAGTATCTGAACTGTTCATACATTTTATTTCAGAGCTCTTGTGGAGAGCAAGCGAAAACTCTGTATTTTTTTAAATAAATATTTACATATCTTTTTTATGTTCTTGATATTATCCTGTGTAAACAAATGAAGCTGAATAAATAAGAGATGTTAGGAAGAAAAAGGTGCAAAAGACGCTTGGTGAGAGAAGACATCTCCAACTAAGTGGCTTCAGAAGTTCTGAGTATCTAGTACGCACTAGGAAATTGCTTGTCAGGCATCTCTCCCACTGTAACAGCACTTACACCATTAGAGACTTCCGTGGGATAAGGAGTGGCCTCTTGCTGCTCAGAAGAGAACTGAAGAATGTAACCACAAGAGAGATGGAAAATACAGCTGCTGACCTGAAATAAAGCTGCTATAACGGCAACCGGGTTTAACCTTTTTCTCGTCTTGGTATACACCCTGGATGAACTGACCTTTTTCTTTTTTCTTTGACTATTTCAAAGAAGTCGCTTAGCCAATTGTAAGTCACACTCTCCTGATGGCAAGTGTCTTTTCAGAAGGAAATCACCCCCGAGCTGGTTGTATTAGCGTGCTGGAAACAAGGACGACCACTTAGAATCCAGTCTTTGAGTTGCACTACTGAATTCCCAGAAAGAGAGGTGATGTTTATGAGGGGGCTGCTGTGAGCAGTGTCAGCCTAATCTCATCTTTAAATATGACACCATGGAATAAGCACGTGGGTCCTACAGCACACTGATCCAACGTGGAGTGATACAACCTACAGAGCCTCTACTTCAGACAGGCTGTCGTGGTTTGAGCCTGTCACTTGAAAAAACGTACCCATAGAAAGACCACGTATAGTGCACATGCCTGAAAAATCACAACAATTCTGAGAAACTACTACAGTCACTTGTTGCCAACTTCCCTTTTGTCTTCTCTGAATCCTATTACCTCCTGTGAAGGGGAAGGCGGCCACCAACAACTAAGGAAAAAACATCTACTACACTTTACCACACAAGTAAGTGCATAGCACTTACAAGTTCAAACTAGTTTCCTACTTAGAATAACCTCTTTCGCATGCAAAACCACAATGACATTGGCTTATTTCACTTTGATTAAATCGCAGTATCTTACAAAGCTGGACATGGGAAGAGGTTGCAGGCCTCCTCTTCTGGAATAGGTTTGGTGCTGCTGTCACAGTAACTCTCAGATACCTCCTCGTGAGTGATTCTGTTGACGCAGTGGAAAACTGGGTATTGTGACCCTGAAATGGAAAAGAAAATAAGGTGATATGCTGCAGAGTCTTTTGCAATGCAAGCCACAACAGTAGCATCCAACACTGATGCAGAAAGGAAAAGTGTAACAACAACAGGAAATACAGACTAAGGTTTTATCCAAAACTTCCAAATGTAAGTGAGAGCTGAATGCTATACTGTTTACATTGCAGTATTGAGGGAAGTCCTTAGTATATAGAAAGTACAGCATGGCATCATAGGCAAGGCTGAGAAAACATGCTCCTTGGTTTGCATGAGATCTTTATGGTGCTGAGAGTACAAACATTAAGTATTCAGGCAATTTTAAAAAAATTAAGGCAAGCAGTCACAACACAGGCTTGAGAGGAGAAAAAATTTAGTAGTCATTCTGTTGTGCTTCTGGAAAGAGACTGAGCCTCATGACTTCAGAGTTATGTGGTGAGTAAACACATGAGAATATAATCCACTTTACCTGTTTTTGGAAAAGATAAAGCTTACAGGTTAAACATTACTGTAGACTATAGACTCCCTAAAAATTACTACTCTCCATATTTAACGCTCGGTCTTTAAATAACTTTCATGCTAGAGCAGAAAAACTGAATTCTATTTCTATTACTACTGCAAATTGACTACCAAAATGATGACAAGGAGCAAGGTGCTAACATCCCTACTTGTATTTGGTAAGTGAAAAGCTGGAGTACATTAACACGTTTCCCGACAGGTGATTGAGGATCTTCTCACTTCCCAGACAGGATGCAGTAGCAGTTTCCACACTGTCAAATTCTAGCAGATCTATTTGCTCAGTCATCTTAAATGGAAATCTGGGACATGACTTGGTGGCAGTTCTCATGGGAAGCATTTTAACTTCTGAAAAAACTGATAAAAGTCTTTTTTTCCCAAGCCAAAGTTTTACTGAAAAATGCTTTGAAATCTCACAGCTTTTCATCAAAACTGTTAATTTATCCTCCCTTTTTCCTTGGCTAGCATAATAATTTTTCTTTCTTTCTTCTTCCAACTCAAAGCTTCCTAATGTTATTTAGCTTTTACAGGTTCATTTTGGAAAAAAAAAAAGGAAAAAGAAAATTAAAGACCATGTATCATCTACATTTCTGCATGAAGAAATAAAGTGGCAGAAAAAAGGAAAACATGGAAAAAAGAAAAAGGGAGGAAGTGCCCTAAATCAAATCATACAAAACGAAAACAAGGCCTTAAGTAGTACAAGATTTCTTTCCGTGATTTTTTTTATTTAACTCCATTTTTTGTCAGCCTATATAACCTACTTCGACTTGAAATGCCTTAGAGGCACCAGACATTCACACGGGCTTCTCACACCAAGATCACAAGGAATATTCATACAGTCTCAACAGCGTCAGGATCCTGCTCTCAAGGTCCAGTTTCTTTTGAATTGAACTTGATCAGAACATGCACAAATTTCCAAATAACAGGAAGAGAGATACTTATTTTTAACAGATCTCTTGCTAAATTTCATGGAGTAAATTTAAGCTGTATAGGAGGCTAAAAGATGTCCTTTAAATTCTATTTTCCTACAATTCTGCTATCATCATTTTTACTCAGATTTTATTAATACCACTGCAACTACCAGACCTCTGAAGAAATGGACACAAACTATATTCAAATGTCCATAAAGTCCATAGGAAATACAACCAAAACTTCTATGATGTAAAGGAAGAATACATTTACCCTGATGTGTTCCTGCAACTGCATCATGAATTACCTGATCAGGATACTAGAATTCAGCACGTATATGATAATCCAGACTCTCAGCAGGTAATACTCACTGATTGCTGCTAAGCAATAATCAGATGCAATTAAGGATTCTGCCCCCATGTATGCCCATGTGTATTAAAGACACATAGTTCATTTAAATGCCAACCAAAATAATTCTGGTTACATTCCCTCCTTTTCTCCACAAAAAGGCTGACTTCCAAAAGTCTTCTAAATTTATAGGCTGTATTTTAGGTCTAACATTTTTGCAGCAATTTCTCCAAGGAAAAAGGTTTTCTCAATATTCTAGGAAGAAATTTTGACTGGTATCAATATTGCTGGATTTTTTTTAGCTTTATCTGTAGCTATAACTCAGACACTCATCTGGCCTTGGACCAAATTCACAAAGAATCCTCTCAAACTAATTAGTAAGCAAATGTTCTCAGTGTGTATGGACTGGTACATCTTTACTACAAAGCTCTGCAATTTTGTAGGTATGGTGATGGGTGGCTATGTATAGTACAAAAGATTTCACTTTTACTATCACAGAACCTTATTCTTCTAAGTAATTGCTTGTGCTGTACATCACTGAATCTGTGGTCACTTTGAATGTCTTACAGCAAAGATTAATCTGGCAAGCTCCAAGTAGTGTATCCATCACATCTAATGGGAAATGGGACTAATTACCAGTCCCTTTCCATCCTTCTTCCTTCCCACTTCTCCCCTATGAAAATCTCAGTTTTCTGAAGTCACATTATTGCTGTTAGAGCAACGTCCAATGAGGCAAAGATATGACTGATGGAGTCCCTGTGAAATGTTCCCATAAAGATCAGAAAACTGTTGACAAAGACACAAGAAGCTGAGGGTGTATCTGGCAAAGCTGGAGAGGCCAAATGGAAGGAGAAAGAATGCCAAAGAATGCTGAGGAAAGCAGCTGTGTATCACGGGTGTAAGAGAGAGCAGCTTGCCATAAAATCCTGAAATATTTCCTTTCAGAGGCAAATGCCATATATTTCTTTTTAATTTACACACTTACATATTTTTAATTTTGTTGTTTCTACTGATTTAAATGTAAGCACACATAATAGCAATGATGTGTCTTTCACTTTTAAGATAGCAGAAAAGTTCAGCAATGTTTTGTGTGTACAAGAGCTCCCGAACAGTCACGCTGCTGCTTCCCTCCATGCTGCTCCTTTCCCACACTGAACCCCTCCCGTGTGTCATCCATTCTCTGTGCACTTACCTTTCCCACACGTAGTGCTGCACTCGGTCTTTCCAATCTGTTTCCAGTTGTACTCTCGGTTTTGTCTTGGTGGCTGCACAGCAGGCACCTGGTTCTCTGGCTGATGAGAAGGAAATCTTCCTGGCTGAATAACTGGAAAAGTTCCAGCTGACTGTCCAGTGAGAGTGTCTGTCTCCCTGTGCAAATCCTCATCCTCATGATTTGTACTTTCTGGCATTCCTAGCTGACCATTCAAGGGTTCCCCTGACGATGGACAATAACAAAAAAGTAAAATAATGAGCCTCACTTGCAAATATCAGTCATTGTTTTCATCCATTAATAATCACAACTGGAACATCATTAAACTTGAAAGCAGCTTTAATCTGCTATGCAGAGAACTCCTAATAGTGTCCTGCAAAGATTGTGTTGTTTTAAAGTAAGATAACCAAGTCTCAGCCAGCAAATACATTAAAACCTGAAGAATCTCCACAAATATTGTAGTCTTAATGCACCCAGTGTCAAAATTTCCCAAAGCCTGTTTTTCTAGTGTACCATGCTCTGTGTTCTGTGCCTCCCCAAGTCACAGCACAGCTGCTCCTCGTTACAAACAGACTGCAAACACACTTGGAAACTTGTCAAGGCAAGCCATGAACATTAAAAGCAGGACCAAACCTGCCTGCAAATTTTCTACTGTCCTTCAGAACTTTATACCAGTACAAACAGACATATCCACAGCTCAGGCAGGAGCATGAGCGGTCTAGATTCGACCTTGGGAAGGCAACAGTTGTTGTGTTTGATCCTCTCCAGTTGGGAAAGGAAAGAGATACAGCAAGGGGTTGTTTTAAATGATCTCAAACTCTGAAGAGAAAAATCACATTCTATTTCAGTTCTGAGACATGGCTACAACACTCCAGCTCATGCAAAGCCATGGTTAACATTTTAACAACAAAATTGTTACTGAAAGTAGATACATGTGACCAGATTCCCTGCCACTGTATAAATAATCCCTGCCAGTTACTGATAATCCCTGAATTTACCAAATCTATGCAGATTTCTCTTTCAACACATAGGGTGAAATTCTGGGCCTCTCCCACATCAATAGCAGCATTTACACTGAATCTAATGGTATGAATCTCTCCATTAGCTTAATGGGTAACAAAACATATTTAATATTAGGAAATAGTGGCATTTTACCTGGCCTCCTGTGAGCAAGCAACTGAGGACTAATGACATTGTCTCCTGGAATGATATACTCATAATGTATACCTGGGTTAGGCTGCTGGTGTATCATCTAAAAAGAAAAACAGCCACATAGTCACTTATTTCATTTGTTATATGACTAATACTTAAATATGGAATTAAACTGATCAACTATGTAACATTATTTATCAATGGTCAGAACAGAAACAAGGGTTAATGACTGTATCCAAAAAATACAAAAAAAGATATTTGTTTCAGGAAAAAGCAAGAAAATACAGATTACTCTGTGAACTGAGCTAGCTTGTGATGGCAGAGAAACTGCTTCTCTAAATCTTCTTTGGAAACCCAAACCTGCCATGCTTGGGGCCCAGCACAGACAACAGGGGCTCAGCCAGTCTTAAGGTCACCAAAGCATCCTCAAGCAGAAGGAGTGTGAGAGATGCCTGAGGAAACACAAGCAAGTAAGAAATAAAGCAGAGACCCCAATCTACAAATCTAGCCAATGGCGCTTTTTAAGGTTTGTCAGTTGTACTTGAAGGGAGCACATGCATGTTGTTCTGTGCGTATCATCTCACAAATCAAACTGTTCCTTGTGTCACCATGTCACTACCTCTGCACCACAGAATCACAGAATGATTTGGGTTGGAAGGGACCTTAAAGATGATCTAGTTCCAACTCTCCTGCCATGGGCAGGGACACCTTCAAACAGACTGGGTTGCCTGGCCTTGAACCACTCAACAGACTCAACAATCAACTAGCTAAAATTACTATCACTAGGCTGCTCTCACCATAAGCATCACTCAATGAAGATCAAGTGAAGAGGTTACAAAGGCCCACAGACTTGTCACAGCAGCTGAAGAATGCCTGTGCAACCCTCCTGCATCCTTCCATGCTAATTTTCAAATGGGTGAAGATGTAATGTAAGTGCAGGCAGACTCCTGCTGCTTTACAGCTGGCCACAACACCCCTTCCAAAGTGTTCTTCATGAAACACAGGTGTAAACCATAAGCATTTCTCCCTCAAATGTGAAAATGAAGGCCGGTGTTTTCAGACCACTGCTGCACAAGCCCAAGCAAGCTGACATGAACGTGCCTCGGAAAGGCAGCGTCACTTCTTGTCTGCTTGTTTAAGCAGTTAGGCATAATAAGACCTTGGCAAGATAGGACTTTATGAAAGCTTTTTAAAACTGTGAGCAGCACGCTCCACACTCAACTGGCTTGTGTTACGTTGCTGCTGCTGAGAGCCTGAGCATACTCATGCTAGAAAGGCAGTGGTGCCATCAGCTGCTAACTTCACTAGCTTAGCTTTGATTACTCCAGGACTGCTTCCACTGACACTACTACTGTAAAAGTCCTGGACTCTTTGCAGGGATTGGTCTGACAGAAGCCTCAGATTACATTTTAAGTTAAAGTATCATTTTTAAAAAAAACCCAAACCAAACCAAAACCACCACCAGAGTTTGCACTAGGTCTTAGGTTCTGAAAAAACATGGGCCAAAAAGAAAAAAAGCCACACTATGCCAATGGTTTTATGACCCAGCAAAGCACACTTATGCTTCAAGGTTTCACTAAATTAGTCACACCAATTAAAACAAACTAGGGATTCAGGCCTTTGTTTTTCCTTGTGTCAAATTCACTTTTTTCCTTGCCAAATATAATAGCTGTTCCTCTAAACTCTGTTCCTCAGAGATCATTCACTTTTCTGAACCACCTAATAATGCATTGCCTGTAACAGTTTTTGTAAGGGTTGGTCCTTCCCATGTCACTTTGTTATCCAAAAAATAACACCCTTTTCGTGATTGGTCCTGAGAGACCTGAGCACCATGAAGGTGACTTCAGTGAAAGAGAAACCCCCCTTCCAGAACCAGGACACTCTTCTTAAGATGGTTCCAGGAACAGCTTTCCAATGGTTCCCATGGTTTCTCCATCACATTTCTCAAAACAACTGACAAGCACATGTTATAAAGAGCTTAACGATGAAGACCCTATGAATATATTGCACAGATTTCCTGCAGTAAAATACCTGGAATTATACAATAGTCTTGCTTTGAGTTAGTGGACTTAACTCTTTGTAGCAATGTCTACTTCACACTTGGACAAAACTTGCATGTCTTTTTATCTTCCTAATTATAACCTGCTGTAACTTAGAGAGCTTTTCCCTTTATGTTTTTAGAGTGGAAGAAAGACAGCATGATCTCAGGAAGAAGGAACAGAAAGGCATTTGGAGTTCCCATCTGCAAATCTCTTCATTTTTCTACATAGAGCATAAAGATCGTGAGTTTGGATGAAGAGTGAATTACATGATTCAGGAACTGCAAGACAAAGACTGAAAAAAGACATCTGTATCTGCGTGGCTACAAATTTCAAACCCGTTAAGAGAGGCTGTGTCATTCTGATGATTGATTTGCTTTCATCTAGCACTATTTGCTTTTATCTTCCCACACTATATTGAAAGAGACACTAAACGATCAGCTTATAATGAATTATAGTATTCCTCATATCTACAAGAAACATCTCAGACTAGAGTCCAGTCAAATTAGATATGGCAATCCATAGCAGCAGCCACAGAGCAAAACTGACAAAGCTATGTCCATCAGGCCAGCTTTCTTATATTCATTGCAAAACCAAAAAGAGACTAAGCCTGAACTAAAACAATTAAAATATGATAAATTAAGCTTAATATTTTTTACGGTATTACTTTGGAAATATCTGTTTAATCCATTTCCTGATCCTTTTCTCTCTGGGTCATTACATATGAGGCATCAATCAGCTGACAATGAAAACTTAAGACCAAACCTTAGCTCACAGCATCTTGTAACTACACGACAACACGTATATTTTGAAAACATGGAGTCTGCACTGCAGAATCTAGGAGCCCAACTGCTTAATCTTCCAAACTTTTGCCAGCCTTACGTTGCAATCAATCAGAAATTATTCAAAAAGAATTAATGTTTGCATAATTACTACATTGCTACATTAAGACATCATAGAGCAAATGGGGAATAACTTTGCCAACATCTAACTTTTCCCAGCTGAGTAATCAGGGTAGTTACTATTCATCTTTCTATGGAACAACCCTGCAAACTCACCTTTCCACCCTATATTGCACTTAAGAGCAAAAAAGCTGTAGCTGGATGAAACAAACATATCACCACATAATCTAGTTCTTTTAATGACCCTTTTCTTACCATGTGAAAGTTCATAATCTCAGAGCACACACCATTTACCTTTGAATGAGTTGCAATCAATTCCAGTTATATTTTTTATTTCAATATGATGCAGTAAAAACCTGTCCCATCTGCAGTAAACAGTTTTCACCACAATTCCCCTTCTCTGTCCCTTTTAAAAATGGGTATTATCTATGGTCTCTGCACACAGCTTTGTATTAAAACTGCCCTGCTTCAAATCCCACAGTCTATAGTTTTTACGGCTTCTGCTTCTTTTAAAGAAAAATGTGGTGGTATCACTCTGTGAGAGGCCTTTTCTTATTTAGGTATTTGCTTCAGTTCACTGTAAAATTAAACTAGGCCAAATTTGTTTGAGTAGTAAACTATCTGGAGAAATTCCAGTTCACAAAAAACCCTAGAAATTTGGATGCCTTATCTTTATTTTACTGAACAAGCAAACTTGCTTTTTCTTGATTAGTAAAGTCTGAGAGAAAAAGGCTTCATTGTTAGTTAGATCTCCTATGATCTGGAGCAGGATGGGAGCAACAGCAAGCAACAGTAAAATATAAAAAATAATGTTTTAAAATTAAAGGAACAAAACAGTAAGTATTGGTAGCAAATGAAATTTTAATGTTGCACGTTAATTAACTGATTTTTTTTTTCCATCAGGGAGATTAATTTAAATACAAGAAACTTACATAGACATCAAGGACTTCATTTGTTGGACCATCAGCTAAAAACGACTCCCCTGCAGTGCTGGAGATTTCATTTGGGCGTTTATAAGTGAACATTGTCCCACCACCTTCGTATCTCCCAGGTCGATCAATTGCCCAGTTCCCATTGATGATGGATCGTCCTGATCGACTCCGCAACGCTGTAGAGGTTGGGGACAGAAACACAAGGACTTTGAGCAGAAGAAATCACCTTTACATCACATGACACTGCTGGGTGTTCTCTGAGCCCCGTGGTTGCTGAAAAAAACGCAGTCATACTAGTAGTTTTGCAAAAAAACCACCAAGTTTAGAAAACTTTGTCCAAACACATTGTTTATGCTGCAAAAAAAGAAAACTGAAAGATAGCTTGGATAGCTTTTTCGACAGTTTCTCATAGTTTGTCACGGGACTCTCAGCCAACCAGCGGCATACACTGAACACACACGGATGCCAAGGAAGTGGTTTTCCTCCACTTCCTTCACACAGAATTGACTATTTTGTGATTTAGACAGAACAAAATACAGAGGCAGATACAGAAAAATCAGTACATTATATAATGCAGAAGCACCAAACAATTTAGGGAGACATGAATACCCTGGGTTGCCAAATATTCCAGTTATTCTTCATGAAGCCATTTGGCTACTCCCTCCGCTTCCTTTCCAGAACATGATTTTTTTGCCAGAACATATGTTGAGCCCTGTTCTGCTGCACTGTTTGGAATGACGAGCTCTCTGAAAATGCCAGTAGGATCTCTCGCGAAAGGAAAAGTGACTCTGCAAATCAGATACTAGCCAGGGAAGGATGAAATACAGATTTAATATCTAGTTGTGCAGTGCATCGCCTTTGTCATCATGGGCAAGTCACTGATTTCTACATGTCTCTGTTCCTTCTTGTCCCTTATCTGTCTATGTGACTATAATTTTAAGTCCTTACGGTCAGAAACTCCTGCCACATACATACATGTGCATAATTTTATGCAATATTACAGTTACAGATTTCAAAATACAGTAGTAGCTTGAGGCTGAAATCAAATCAGACATTGTTTAAGTACACAGGAAAGACATGACCTTTCCTCTCAATGCCCTACTCAAAGTTTTTCACTTTTATTACAAAAGAATTTGTTTTTAAATACAGACTTTAAAACAGACACCAAAATCTAATATCCTTGGCTGTATATTGCCTGGTAATTTACCTTTTAATGCAAATTCAAGGTACGATCTTTGAACACATAAAAATTTAGGGTAGAGGACCCAGTTGTTCCAGAGACTGTTTCTTCTTTGTCCTGTCACAATAACTGCCATATTCAGTTAAAATGCTCTCAGCGTTATATACAACTATTTATGCTTCTGGGAAAAAATTAAAAAGCCTACGTGCATGGCCTAAATGATGGGAAATTAAATTTATGCCATTAATTCCAAAGTAATACACATCAGAGAAGAAACTTAAATTGTTTTTACATATTCCAGACATCTGAATTAACTGAATTAATCAACAGAAGCAGTCTTTCTGCTTTTGCTGCAGGCCTCTCGGTGAAGCACATCAGTGTGACTGTGTGATGAGAAACAGTCGTAAAATGTCAATACAAAGGTGCATTATGTTAAGATTTAAAAAAAGCTACAGAGAACCACACTGCAAACATCATTGCTCTTTTATATAAATTAGTGATTTAAAGTGCAATATTATTGCCACATTTTAGAAACCACGTCAATCACTTTTATTACTCTTCTTTGAATGCCCCCCTGTTGAAAGAAAACCTTCTGTATTGAGAAAATTCCATAGTTACAGATAAGGATGCAGACAATTACAGACATATGGATTAAAAATCAATAATGCCAATTCAAAACAAAAAAATTAGGGAAAGTAATAGAAAAAAGAAAGGTTTGTAAATGAAAAAAGAATACTTTTCACACGATGTGTGTCTATATGCCTATCAACTTCAAGAAGCTGTTGAGAGGAACACGTTAATAAGATTCAAGAAGGGATTGGACTGGCAGATTTTTATTTTTTTTATTAATAAAGTTAAATAGCTGCAAAGGAACACTCTGATATTTAAGTTTTGAACTTCATAACATCCTATGTGTATTAGGCTAAGACCTATAACTTGAGCAGATTATTTTATATTTGCCAACTGCATATTCTTACAATATCTTATGAAACACCTACTGTTGTGGTCTCTACAAAAATACAGGGAACTAGACAGAGCACTGCCTCGATCTACAGAGCAAGTTCTGTAACCCTGCTAGAAGACTGAGCTGATATCCAGGCTTAAAGACAATCTCAGAAAAGAACACACTGGGTGAAGGGACAGTGACACTGCAGTGTCCTTGCCCTGTTCCTCTGCAACATTCAAAGTCTTTTTCCCCATGGGAGGGGTTGCTGCTGAATAATCAACTCTTTTTAATTTACTTAATATTGATGAAATTGTTTATAGAAGATAACCTCATCGTGTTTTTGATAAATTTTTTAAATAGTGCTTAGATACCATCATGTACTTACGTCTCTTGTAAGTCCTTACCATTGTTGCTCTTTAATGAAAAAGCAATGGTTCATTAGATAAAGTGAGTGACTTTATCAGTATTCAAGCATCAACCAACTACAATTTTCAGTTGTTTGCAATTTCAAGTCAGCTTGATTTGTTTGCATTATAATACACGCAGAAACAGAGATACGCAACACTAACATACTATCTAACTACTAATGATAGATTTGAATTGCAATTGTATAGCCTTTATTAATCATCCCTGCACTAAGCCAATACATTCACACCTCTGGAGAGGCTAAGGACTCAGCAACCTACTTTTTCAAAGTGGGGTAGCAAATGATGTAAGAGCATGTGTGCAATCTGTAAATTTAAAATATAAGTTAGTTTACTCTTTATTATCACAGATTCATAGAATACCAGGTTGTAAGGGACCTCAAGGATCATCCACTCCAACCTTTCTTGGCAAAAGCACAGTCTAGGCAAGATAGTCCAGCACCCTGCCCAGCTGAATCGTGAAAGTGTCCATGATTGGGGAATCCACCACCTCCCTGGGGAGATTATTGCAATGGCTCACTGTTCTCAGTGTGAAAAATTCCTCTCATGTTCAACTGGAATGTCCCCAGGAGTAACTTGTACCCATTACCCCTTGTCTTTTTCATGTCACTCCTTGTAAATAGGGAGTCTCCATCTTCTTTGTAGCCACTCTTCAAATGGTGGAACATGGTGATAAGGTCTCCCCTAAGCCTTCTTCCTTATTTTCTCAAGGCTGAACAAACCCAGTTCTCTCAGCCTTTCCTCATACGGCAGACCTCCCAGCCCTTTGTTCATCTTGGTGGCCCTTAGTATGTTAGTTTTTGCAAGAACAATTTGTAATAGCATCAAGCCTGTTCTTCATTGAAAGGAAAATAAGCTAGTAACTGAACAAAATGGGTATAAAAGTAGATAAATTAATTTAAAAGACTCTGTAAGATTGCATTCCCTTTGCATTCCGTTTACATTTTAAATCATGGTACTGTGGAGTAAATGGTTCACCAAAAATTTATTGGACATTGGTTTTACATTGTTTTTTAATATGAACCACTTTCTTAACTTCATGATCTGAGTATCTTTTCTTCTATTGCTGCTAAACAAAAATAAGTGAATTATCAAGAGCTCAGAAAAAAGAAAGAGGAAAGAGAGCTTGTTAAGATTAAATTGTTAATAATGAAGCTGTAGAAAGATGGCTGGCTGAGAAACTGAGATTCCATTAAACTTTCATTTCAAATCCATCATATGACAGGTCGGAAAGAGGCCCCCCCATAAAAAGGGAAAATGTGCCTCTTTTATGTTTTGATCACCCTGCAGCTACCACCTCAACTCTGCCCCCTGAAGAATTTTTATGGTGCTAATATTTTTAGCCAAAGCATGAAAGATTATGTAAAGCTTTACCGTTAATTCCTCATGAGGAATTCCTCATACAGTCTGTAGCTGATTTCATCTATCTTTCATCCTGGATTAGCTTCTTAACTACAACTGTGTTGTTTACCGTGGCCTTCAGGAATGTTTTGCACTAGAGATATGGAATATTTCAGGATACAAACTCTGATCAACACTTCTGCTTGGGCTGCAATTCTAAGGCAAAATCTCAATAGGCCATATATTAAGACTTGCACTTCAAATATCTGAAGAGTACCAATTAATTTTTTACAGTTCAGCTTACAGCTCTCCTTTTAAAGCTGTTTTACAGCTCCTGTCTTTCTGTTGAACAATTCTATACAGCCTCCCCTGTAACTTGAAAACAAAATTGCAAAAGACCATTCCAATCAAAGGTGGTTGACGCAGTGGTGCAACAGTGAAGTTCTGTAAACAATGAACGTGCATCCACTTTCAAGGTCAGTATTTCCAGTAAGAAGTTATGTTTGATGGTTTGTAAGAGAAGCTTTTATAATCCTAGTTTAAACTATATCACTGCAATCAGAAAATTCAGAATTCATTTCTCCATTAGTTTAAAGATAATTCCACTACTGTAGTTCCCCTTTTATTGCATTTTTCAGTCTTGCCAGCTTTCTCGATTGAAGCTCCCAACATGCTCCAGCTCCTGAATATTAGCCACTTCTTCATACTCTCAAGTGAATTTTTTTTAAAAAAACAACAAAACCTACAAAAAATTTGTAACACTCAGGACTAGAAAAAACCCCAAAGATTTGACCTTAGTATATGTCAAAGCTAGGCTACGAGTGAAAAAAGAAACTCTATTACTATTACCGTGAAAAACATCATCCAGCCTGTATCAAAGTCGTCTTTGGTTAACGCTGACCAGAAAGTCTTTCTAGCCCTTCTCAACTCTGAAAACAAAACAGCTGGAATTTGGCCATCTTAAGGTGATTCCCTGCAATATAATAAATATTAACTTGAACAATAAAATAACTCGCTCTCTGTCATGAACTGTGTGTGAAAATAATTGCCTTGATGAAAGGAAGATGTCACGATTCAGTCACAGTGAGATAACGGTGAGTCAGTAATAGAGTATCACATGTACAGATCCACTGCAGAGGGTAAAGAAATACCTCTATATGAAAAATCCTAATATACTTCCAGCTACCAAGTTAAGTTTGAACAAAATTGGTTTTCCAGATATTTTTAAGTAACCTAAATTAGTAACAAGAATCATTAAATCTACAGACTTCTGGAACTTTTCAT